TGTGTTTGTGAGTGAATAGAACACATCCACTGGCCAACGCTTTGTGTTTCCATTGATGCCATAGTTGCTGTATGTCTCATTTATTCTTTTCTCTTTGCTGAGACAAGATACCTGACACCCCAAATGAAGAAAGGAAAGGTTTATTTAGCTCACATTTTGTGAAAGGTTTGGTCCATACAAAGCTGGCTCTGGGGCAGAGTGGCACATGGCAGAGAGCAGCCGTTCATGGCAGTGGCAAAGGGCAAGAGCAAATGGGAGCAGCAGCAACAATGGCAGCAGAGAACAGGTCTCTCTCCCTGATGTTGCATTCAGGCTGTATGTCCCAGACTGGGGTCACACTCACATCCATAATCCCAACAGCACTCCCCCATAATCCCAGCGGCACTTACACCCATAATCCCAGCAGCACTCACACCCATAATCCCAGGACTGGATCATGAATTGATTGCAAAATCTAGAAGGCACCCCCTGACTGCATGGTGCTTTGGGGGGACACCTAGGTACAAACCATAACACTGCATGACTCATCAACATCTACTCCACTTTTGGTTTTGTAGAAAGTTTCCACCCCAGGCTTCCGTCTTGTCCAGGTTTTCCCTATGGGTATTTCCACCATGGTGTAATGTTGACATCCCCAGTGCCAGTTTGCTTTTCTTTGCCTTACATGAGGCCAACACTATGTTTTTCTGAAATCCAAAGACTGTGCTATACAATTCTCTGCTTCGAAATTGCAGCATTTCATTTGGAGCTTCTGCTTCCATCCTGCGGCCAGTTCCTGTGCTGGTCACCTTGTGGTCTGTGAGCAAAGGAAACACCACGTGGACACTAGCAACACAATTGTCCAACGTCACGTTCTGATTAGCTGGGGAGGTGGGAGAGCAAGTCTCTTCACGACATCATCCGGTTTATCACTACATAAATAAGGACCTGAAGGCTGAGCTCCAGGATAAAGGCCTAAGTTGAAAGCATAATAGGTCTTGGCATCGACAAGGGCATAAATTGGATCCCCTATTCGGACCCTTTGCTTTTCCATGAGGCCTTTACATTCCTTTGATGGGAACCCGCACCCTGTTCGGAAGCGCACCCTCCTGATTTCCGGCTGGAAGGGCAGTGAGGCAGCCTGCATGTGGGGTGTGGAAGCGCAGTCCGACCCAGCCATCAGTCCAGAGACCTGGACTCCCTTCTCCCCCTTCTCTGAATGCAGGACCCAGCTAAAGTCACAGACCTCTGACCTTAGAAAATTCAGGAGCGTGGAAGGCGGGTGTGTCTCAGGATGTGCCTGGTGCTCCGTGTAGCCAGCCTTTCCCTAGAGAGTTCACGAAGTGGCCGGGTTTTTGCTTTATGATTGCATTTTGTGTTCTTCCCATAAAGAACAATGTTATTTTCTCATGAAATATAGTCCCTGATTCCACTAACAAATACGTTCTCCCATTTTTCTAGTAACATATATAGTGGTCCCTCACCATGGAGGTCACATTCCAGACAACCCCTCGATAAGTGAAAATCAGCCAAGCAGCGACATTATATTTATTTTAGTATTTATATATATTTTAAGACTTTATAAACCTGTCCACACTTTTAAAAATACTTGTGATGTTCTTAACCATTTTCTAAAGTGAAACCTACATAGTTAAACAACATATAAGGAAAGCAAGAACTTGAGGACTAGACAATGAAAAGAGAGCAAGGAGAAGAGCTAGGAAACATGACAGGGGCAAGCCATACAGTTATATGTAGAAGATGGGTAAGGCAATGATGCTGAGAGTCTCCAGAAGATTTTTGAATCTACCAGTTAATTGGAAGGATTCTCACCGTGACTAACTATATATACCAATATCTGTGAACTAAGCAACTGCACTGAAGATGGTAATCTGTAATAGTTTCATGCTTAGAGTGCCTGTCATTCTGGTCTTCTGAATATGGGCTGCTTGTCCTGACATGCCAGTTGCTGCCGTGCTCTCTAGGGTAGATGATTGTTCAAAAAGAAGCGGGTGGTGATTGAAGGCAAGAGACAGGAAAAGGAATGTTGCGGAACTGTCCTGCTACAAGGTTGTATATGGTTAGATTTCTGGACTTATGTGTAAATATAAGAATTATATAATTCTTTATGCCTATTTAAAAAATATTTTAATTTTTTAAATGTTTTTTCATCATATTCTGTAGGGACTTAAAGTTCAACATATTAATACTTGATGAAAAATACCTGTTCCATGTTATGCCTAAGATGTTTGATATTCAGACAGATAGTGAGGTTAAGCTTAACAGCCTAAGTTGTATGGTAAGCTTCTTTTCTGGAGGGCTAACAACCTAAATTTGCAGAGCAAAATTAGAGAAAAAGGAGGGCCACAAGGAAGGCCAGCATTTTGGCCCTAGCCTTCCAAGGTTAATTAAGACTCAGGACATATGAGAACTTGTATGGGAACGTCATGTAACTCAGTAGTGTCCCAAATTTTCTGATCAAGGAGATTATAGGGCCAAAGAGGAAAGTGATCGATGATGTAGAGTGTGCATAAGGAGAGTCACATGGAGAGAAAACATTCTCTCAGGCTTTCATGTGGAATACATTGGCCAAGCAATGGCCGTGACTCATCCACATGGCTGACACTGACAAAGGTTCTACAATCTGAGGTACAGGATCTCAGGATAAATCCTGAGGGGATTTCACTGACCTTATCAGACCCAAAGCTACAACTCTTTTTGCATAGGTCCTGCTTTATCTTGGTCTTAATCATCCAGCAGAAAAGTATAAAAATAAAATATAAGAAGTAAAGCCATGCTGCTATGTTGAGCTGTAGGGGACTCAGGTCAACAGTTTCTGACACTGCCAGTCAAGCGCAAGACCCAATACTATTATGGACTACTGGACTCTTTTAGAATATTTTGCTGAGTTAACACACCTATAATATTCAAATGACGGAACTAAACAAAAAAGGGGATACAGATGAATGTCCATTTTGTATTTGTGTATTCAAAGTGGTTAAGATAGATATATAGTTACATTCTCTTAAGGAATAGAGGGATTTGTTGTAATAGTGTTTGTAAATAGAATATCATGTCTGCATCTTGTACAGCAATTAACCACTAGGAAGCGAGTATGCAGTGTGTTAATTATTGAAACTGTCCTACCAGTTTGGTTTGAAACTGTGTCATTGCTATTTGTCTCTCAATAAAATTATGGAAAAAAACCCATACATATACTGTACACTACCGCAAAATCCCACAATAAATAATATAGATTAATATTTTTTGAAAACCCACAAAACAGTCTGTGAAAATTGAATCACAAAATAGCTAGAGACTACAGCAATCCTCTAGGTCTTCCCTCCCTCCATCTCTTCCTTCCCTCCTTCTTCCCTCCCTCCCTCCTCCCTCCCTCCATCCCTCCATGTCCCAGAAAAATAGTTCACTGACTGAAGCATCTGCTCTTTGTCCTTGATTGGGACTCCAGCCCATGGCCCGAGATCACCTGATATTTCAGGATAAGGCAGAAATCTGAAGAAGTTTTTGTGAGATCTCCCAAAGTTTTAAACACTGGCAGCTCATTAAACACCAAGCTGACCAAAACTACGCAGCAAAACAAAACTTCACCCACCTCAGCTCCATCTCAGCTCTGGATTACCTGGCAGGGTGCAGCTGTCCTGTCCAGGAGCCAGGCCAAGGGAGACCAGAGACAGAAAGCAAGCACTGGACCTCCAGGCAGCCCCAGTCCAGAAACAGGAGCGAGCGGAGAGGAAAGTGCCGCCCAAGACGGGCCTGGGGTCCAAGGAGGAGGCAGAGCCAGCCCAGGGGAGAAGGCCGAGAAGATACGAAAATAGCCATTTAAAGAGCGAAAAGTCAATTTTAAATACCATTTCCAACAGAAAGAAGATGCCTTAAAGTAATGTCTCATTCCAGGTTTGCAAAGTGAATCCAGAACATGGAATATTGACAAGTAAGTGCTTTAAGGTTGGTGGCCTAAAAGAAATGGCAACCACTGACCAAATGTGGGACAATTCGAGTACATTAAAAACCATAATGATAGAATGGTGATAATGGATTCTACTATGTTGAATAAAAATCAGTTTCTCCAAGCCCCGCCCAGTGGGGTTCACTGCTACTCCCAGCAATGCAGGAGGCTGAGGCAGAAAGATCTCAAGTCCTAGGCCAGCCCCAGCAATTTAGCAAGACCTTGTTTAAAATGAAAAAAATAAAAGGTTGAGGTTGTAGCTCGGCACGATGCATTGGGTTCCATTAATATGGCACAATAAATAGATAACTTCTCAAAAAAACCCTAATATTTCAGTCCATGATATTAAGAGAAAGAGAGAAGGGGGAGGGGGAGGAGCAAGCTGATGCCTCCCAGAAAGCTAAGGCCTGAGAGTCACGCTGTTGCTGCCCACAGTAACCACAAACAGAAACATTCTCAATGCAGGCTTAAACCACTGAGTCATATGTTAGAAGCAAATACCTCGCTTTTGGTTTTGTTGTCCGTGTGTGGGGAGCCCTGCTGTGTGGCCCAGCCTGGCCGGAGGCTCACTGTCCTAACTCAGCCTCCTAAGTAGCTGGGATTACAGGCATGTGCCACCACACCCGGCTCCACAGCTCCCTTTAAATAAAGTGAGGAGAATAAATAAATAAATAAATAAATAAATAAATAAATAAATAAAGTGAGGAGATCCAGTGGATATCAGCTTACCCTAGATATCAGGTCTGATGTCACCAGTAAGCGGACAAAGAGGTTTTGCAGGCTTGCCAGTGTGACAGACTGAAACATCCACGACATTGCCTCTGTAGTGATCTTTCCAGAAATGTCTAACCTGAATCTAGTCACAAAGAAATCATGGAAAGACCCAGAATGTGGATCTGTCTAGATGACAGTGGGCCTGAACACTTGAATATGATCCGTGACAAGACAAGCAAACCAGCAAAAAAGGAAAGTGGGCCAGGTGTGGCGGCACACTCTAGTAATCCCAGTGCTTGGGAGGCTGAGGCAGGAAGATCATTGTGAGTTTGAGGCCGACATGGGTTACATAAGTGAGTGCAAGGTCTGAAGTGCTGGGATTATGGGCGTGTGCCACTACACCTGGCCCTTGATTGAATAGACTGAGGAAAAACAGATAAAGGACATTTTGGGAAGAAATGGAAACATTTAGTATAGACTATATAGTAGTCAATACTGTTAAACAGGTGTTAATTTTCTTAACTATAATAATGGTCTTGTGGGCCTGCAGAGTTCTTTATTCTTAGGAAGTATGTCTGCCAAGGAGGGGTGGAGGAAATACACCAAAAGAGACGAGTCTAGGGTAGACAAGTTTCTACTGTACTTTGAATTTTTCTGGAGGTTTTTTTTAGTTTTCTTTTTGTTGTTGCTGTTGTGTTGTTTTGATTTGCTTTGTTTTAGACAGTCTGACTATGTAGCCCAGGCTGGCCTTGAACTCACAGCAGTCCTCATGCCTCAGCCTCCTGAGTGCTGGGATTACAGTCATGTGCCACCGTGCCAAGCATTTACTGGCTTTGGTTTGTTTTTTATGTATTTAGTACAGGGTGTACAGGGTCTCCAGGGGGTCAATGCATAGGTCAGACTCCTAGTGATTCTCCTGTTTTCAATTTCCCAAGTGCTGGGATTACAGGCACGCGCCACCACACCCAGTCTCAATCTCCATCTCAGCACACGGGTGCTGCTGATTTAAAGAAGAAAAAAATAAAAGCTATATAAGAAAAATGGGAACATTAGTAAATAATGTTAAGAAAAAAGTACATGAAATCATGTACACCCAACCATTATGATTCTATAACACCAGTAAGAAAAATTGTCTTAGTTCATTGAACATTTACCAGGCAGGGGCCTGTAACAGGGGTGTTAAGCTCTGGGAAGACTCCTGCAAGTCAACAGCATCCTAAGCCCAGCCACATGCTCACCTGCCCACAGCAGCTCAGAAGAGCCCTCCTCCTGAGAGCCACCCTGTATGCACCGTGCCCTCTACCTGTGCCGCCCAGGACACAGGCACCACCGCTTGTTTCCAAGAGCTCCCTCCTTGGAGGTGGGGCCCCGCTGGCTGGCCCACGTCAGCGCCTGCTGTGCTCCAGGTACAGTACTTTTAAATACTGCTCCTCCACTCCTGCCCTCTGCCTCCTGGCCGCGCCCCTTCCTCAGCCTGTGCTCACCTCACAGTGAAGCTTTGTGCCTCTGTCTCTCCAGAACAGTCTCACCCTGCACGGGTCTCCTGCCTCCTTCAGGAAGACCACACACTCGCTCCATTCCCTTCTTGGAAGACTGTGAAGCCTGACTACTATTAAACCTCCCGTCATAAGCACGGGGCAGCTTTAAAGCTACTTTCTACCCTTAATCCACACACTTCTCTTGCCAGGCAAGAATGAGTGCCCCACCCTGACATCTGGCTGATTCCACAGCTGTTGAGTCCATGCCTCTGCCCATGGCTGGAGACCCTCTCCAAGAAGTAACTAGCCTGTTCTCCTGGTGGGGGTCAGCTGTGCCCACCTTTGCACGGCTATTTCTGCCATATGCCTTCGCGTAGCATGCACATGTATTTCTCTGTTGCACTCCTCAAGGTCAGACACAGATTTCTCAGTCTTGTCCAGCTCTACTCCTAAAAGTGCCATCAGGTCTGGGGCTGCACCCCAGACAGACAGACAGACAGGCAGAGAGACGGAAACAGGACCTACAGTTGAGCCAGCTGTAGTGGCCTGCCTGTTGTGAGGCTGAGTCAGGAGCGCCAGCGTGAGCTACACATCTAGTTCAGGGCCAGCCAGAAGTGCCTTTGGAGACCATGTCTCAGAAACAAACAAAAAATCGGAAGGTACAGTTTAGCAAGTCCCCAGAAGAATCGTGTTCACATTAAAGTTCGTGGTCCTGGTTATATAGCACCCACTAAAACTTGCACAGAGCATTTAACAAGTGTTTCAAGCCCCACGGCCCTGGGAATCCTGGGGGTTTGCAGTTTCCAGGTGCAGCGGCGCGTTGCTTCTTTTCCCCCAGCTTGGAGCCCGCTCCTTTTGTGGTGGCGCTTGGCTCTGCCTCCTAGAAATGACAAACAGGACACACCTTCCTAGCGGAGCCCCGAGCTGGCCTAGGCTTCAGGGCCCTAACACTTCTGCTGAGGAGCTCACTCCATGTCTGAAAGAACCAGCCTAATGCAAGCTAGGGGCTTCTGATAGACAACACTGGAACGGTTTCTCGACTTGATTTATTGACTTGTCGGTTTTCATTCTGTCACGAATCTGATTGACAGCGAAACGCGGGATGTGGCTGGGGGGATTCCTGCGGGTGTGCGCGCAGCCGCGGGTCTGTGTGCGCGCGCGCGAGCGCGAGGGGCGCTTGTGTGTGCAAACGACACGGACGACGTGGGTGCCCCGCGGACTTGACCGCGCTCCACAAGTGTTTGCCTGGATTCAAAGCAGCGGAGGGTGGGGTGTGCGTGGCTGGCCTGGGGAGGGGACAATTACGAACACGCGGGGCTACGGGACCCTTGGCCACCACCACCCTCAACACCCCCATCCCCGTCCCTGCAGGCTGTCGTTTCCGACCGAAGGCCGTGGGGAAGGAGGAGGAAGGACGCAAGGCGCCCAAGAATGGTAACGGCCCCTTGTCCACCTCTTGCGCCAGTCGCTGGGAGCCAGAAGGGAAACCGATTGGGGCTGTGCGCTCCCCCCAAACCCCGCGGGACACGCGCGGCAACACGTGGGGTACTCGCAGCCCTCAGCTCCGGCCGCATCCTGGATCCAGCCCGCCCCTGCCTTGTTCCCAACGCCCCGCCCCGCCTCGCGGTCCCGCCCCGGTCCGCCCCCCCTTGTTCCCGACGCCTCGAGGCCACGCCCCCATCCCGCCCCTCCCTTGTTCCACACGGCCCGCCCCCACGCCGTGGCCCCGCCTCCTCCCGCCCCCGCCGCCGCGAGGCC